AAGGAGAATGGAGGAGAAGGGAGTGCAGTGTAGTCATCCCCCTTGGGGGGGGGCATGATTTCTCACTTTCTGTCTCTTAGGTGAGCACACATGCCTTATAGCAAAAATGTATCTCTTAAAAAAAAAAAAAGAAAAGAAAAGAAAAAGGAAGTGGAGGGTAGGCTGAGTTTTCTTTGCACTTGCGCACTTGCATGGTCTCCTCCCATAGTCTCCACCTGATTTGCTTACATTTGCTTCTGTTTAATTGCTTATTCATTTCTCACAGTGATTGATAATGGTATGCAATACTTTGGATGTCTGGAGTACACTTGAATAAAAGTTCCTTCTTTAAAGGAAAAAGTTGGTTCTTTTCTGGGAATCAACTGACAAAATAATATATAGACCACAGGAGGAGCTTCGAATACACCACAGTAACCAATCTGTTGAGTATTTTGTGTATTGAGTTAAATGCTACTGGATCCTCACACATTGATTAACTATTTTCTAAATATTTACCAAGATCTTTAATAAGCGAGAGTGCTTCCCATGATATAAAGGCTCCACCGCCATCATCCAGGGCACCCTGCCCAACATCCCAGCTGTCCAGATGTCCACTGACCAGTACAACCTAGAAGAAATAACAAAAAGATTTAAAAAAATGAAGCTAAGCAAAAATGACATTGAAAAGGAAGTAGTCATAGGCATTCCAAATGTAAAAATGAAACTTACATGTTCTATTTTTATGATTTAAAAGTATGTGTCATTACTATTGGTAAACATAGTATAGAGGTATATATAAGGAACCCAAGGTCATTGTTAATAGTAGTGAATGTTCTCACATTGTGTCTCCCTTTATTAATAAAAGTTCAAGCACTAAAGGAATTGCTTAAACACTAACAAATGTTTGATAACTTTCATTATGTGGTTTAAAACCTAAATGACATAAAAATAGAGCTCAAAACTTCAACCACATCCTTAAATGTCTCAAATTCTAGAAAATGCTTAATAAACATGTCTTGAATTACATTCAAATAAAAAGATAGGAAAATTATTTATTTATTAATTTATTTATTTTTGGAGATGTTTTTGCTATAGGGCACATGTGCTCGCCTAAAAGACAGAGAGAGATAGAGAGACAGGAAGCGAGAAATCACTCCTTGGGGGGATAGCCACGCCAAAATCCCTTCTTCTCCATTCTCTTCTCAGAATCCTGGGCATGCATGCATGCACGCACATGCGCCTGGCATGAGTTTAGGCCACCACATCCAGGACTCGAACCACGGTCAACTACATGGGAGTTCAGCAACATAGCCATTATGCTAACTGCTGGTCCCAAGAGAAAAAATATTTTTAAAAATGATGTTTTGCGAATGATATGTTATTCTGGTATTAGGTAAATAAATAGATGGATTCAAAAACTAGACTTAATTGAATGGAAAATCTTTAAAAAGAAATTTCAATTTACATTAGTGTTAAATAAACCTAGAGATTATATTACAAATTTTAAATCACTATAGTTCTAATTTTTTTCAAAAAGCATTAATAATTTTAGAAAAGTATAAAAAACACTTTACTAGAATTGATCTTATAGACACATTTCAGACAATTTAAAATCTAAGTAAAATGATGCCCGATCTATATGATATTGACATGAAAAATATATTTTGATCCCTACATTATATGATATAAAAATGGATCATAGGTCTAAATAATTATATTAGATAAAAGCATGGAAAAGTTTTGCCAATTGGAGTAAGCAAAGATATCTTAAAGTGGACATAAAAAAGCACAGGACATAAGAGAAGAAAATAATAGATTGAGCTTTTTAAACATTAGGAATACCTGCTCACTGAAAGACTCCATTAAGAGAGTCAAAAGCCAACCCATGGAGAGGGGAAAATTACTCATTTCACATATGTACAATAAAGGATTCAAACATAGGTTACATAAGAATTTTTATTTTTATTTTATTTTATTTTTTGGAGATTGTCGTTATAGGGTATGTGTGCTCATCAGAGAGACTGAGAGACTGAAAGTGAGAAATCACCCCGCGAGAGGATGGTCACACTTCAATTCCTTCTCCTCCATTCTCTCTGGATTCTGGGCATTCATACACACATGCCCAATGTGAGTTTTAAGACACCAGGTCCAGGACTCAAACTGAGGATGGCCATGTGGGAGTCCAGCAATGTAACCATTACACCATTTGCTGGTCCCAATAAATGTTATGAAATAGTAACAAAAAGAGACAACAATAGAAAAAAAGAGCAAAAGACTTGCACACACAATTCAGAAAAATAGACATGTAAATTACTAATAACTCTACAAAAAGGTATTCAGGTTCATTATCATCAATAAAATACACACATTCAACACATATCCACAAGAATAGCTAAAATAAAAATGAGAGAAAATACTAAATATTTGTGAAGAACTAGAGCAAGAACTCTTGTACATTGCGGGTGTGAGTGCAAGTATATATTAGGTCATTGGGAAAGTCACGACATATTTTTCTGTTTTTTTTTTTTAATGCAAAAATGCATGATGACTTTACTGATGGCCCAATATAATCATTGTAGAAATTTGTCTTATCCATTAAATCTGAATATACACACTAATACAATTAGATAATGACATTTCTAGCTATTAAAACCAACAGAAATACATATGTGAGGGCCAGCCAGTGGCATGGTGATTAAGGTGGCTAGATTCCAGATGCCTGACTGAGCCGTTCAAGTCTCAGAACTGAAGGCTTGAAAATACACCAGCCATGTGTGCATGTGAGCCCAATATCCTGAGAAGATAATGGAGGAGAAGAGACTGTGGCATGGCCATCCCTTAGAGAGGATGCTTTCTCATTTTGTTTTCTCTGTCTCTCTCAAATAAGCATATACATCCTACCGCAAGTTAAAAAAAAAAAACACGTGTGTGTGTGTGTGTGTGTGTGTGTGTACATTTTACTAAAAGAGATGCACTAAAATGGTTAAAACAAGAGTATTCATAGTAACCTCACCCTTCTCCAAAAGGAAACTTAAAATGCCTGTTAACAATAGAATTAATAATTGTTTAATAATTGTTTTACATTTTACCAATGGAACACGAAACAGCAGTAAGAATAAACATTATCCATGACGCATTTGGATGATCCTCATAAATATAATGAAGAACAAAAGAAGCCAGACAGAAAGTGATACATAATGCATTATTTCATTTACATAAAAGTACAAAAACGAGAAAAACAGGAGAATGATTACCCTCAATAAGAAAGGTTGGTGACAAGAAGAGGGTATAGGAAAGCTTCTGGGTTACTGGTCATGTTGTTTCCTGATCTAGGTTATGGTTACAAGGGTGTGCTCAGTTTGTAAAAGTTCATTCTGTTACACACTTGGGATTTTTGCACCTTCTCTGAAGATACTACACTTCAATACATTTCTTAGAAAAGTTCAACAGATTGATTTCTATGTACAACATGTAGGAGGAAAGCCAAAGCTGAACCAATTTTCTTGATGGTTAAAATGAAAATTCCCAATGACTTTGAGAAAGTAGGAGTTTTGGTTTATAACATCAGGGTGACCCTTTGCACTGATTCACTAAGCAGCTGCAGGATCTCCCATGGACTTATACACAGACCCGGCCTAGTATGACTTCATTGTAGCTACAAACAGTACAATGCCCCAAGCTAACAAATGGCCATGTAACGAACCCAAATGGATTGTTTCTAAGGGGAAAAACAAATAAAGAATGAAGAAAAAAGTATGTTGCAATAGCAGGGACTTCTGATTCAGAAAGTGGTAAAATCCCATGTGGGACGAACAACCCATTTAGTCAACATTCTCACAACCCTCAGAATCATTCTTCCCAATAACATTTCAGTGATTTGTAAGTGTCAGATGAGTTTTAATCAACTTTTAATCAGACAGCATAAGGGAATAACTATACAAAGTCCCCTATTATTTTGTCCTTCTGATTTCTTTCAGAATAATTAAGATTATTTACAATCATGCTTCATTATGTTTTTTTAACTGCCTCCATTCTCTAATATACAATTATTATTTAAGCTACTAGATAAAAGATGGGAAAGAGGCCCAGATGTGATGACATAGGTGGCAAAGTGCTGCTCTACAATGTCAGAGACACACGGAAGATCATGGTTCAAATTCCAGGTCTACCTAAAACACACCCATGGGCATGCCTGTGATCTTAGAGAATTGCATTATGATAAGATCCTCTCTATATCTCTCTCTCTAACACTGTAGAAGGATAATTACATACCACTTGAATTATGAAAGTTTGCTTTAGTATACTTTTTTTATCAGAAAAAAATGTGAGGCCTTTATGAGGTAATAGTTGTAATGTTAATATCTATTCATTTAAAACTAGGTGATGGCAAAAAGTTCTTTCTAATTCAGTATCATTTTGAATTTGAAATTTTCTATTTATAAGAACATCAATATATACTTTAAAAATAGTGGAAGAGATCTCATTCACAGTGGTACCTGGCTAGAATTCCTTAATATAGTCTTACAAAAGACAACCCAGTCCCCCGAGGCTACTAAATATCTGCCTTATGTCAGATTCAGGCATAAATGAGCATAAATGAACATTAATTATAATAAGGTTGAACCTGATTTAAGCAAGCAAAACAAAAACAGACTACCCAGAGCTGTAGCATACTCCGGACTCATGAAAATAGTCACCCGATTAAACATGGGAAAATGCAGTCTCTTCACTACTTCCGTTGCCAAATATATACCCTCTAGAACAAAAACATGATCTAGGATCAACAGAAAAGTGGGCACCCATTTATATACCCACCTCATGTGCTGCTCCCTGAGGCCAGCAGAGCACTGAACAATTCCTTTCCTCCCAGCTTCCTGTCCACTACCATCTCTCCGCAAACAATAGCAACAGCTATAGCAGCCATAACAAAACCATCAGGAAGGCAAAATAAACTAATGCAAGATTCTGGAGAAAATGATCTTTGGCAGTCATTCATGATTTTCATCAACAATCTGTACTGAGTTCTCACTACATGCCAGAGATACAGAAATAAAAGAAACAAACAAACATGGGATCGGACAGTGGTACAGTGGTAAAATATGACATTGGAAGGCTGGCCCACAGGTGAAGTTTCTGGGTCCATTTCTAGAGACTTTCCTAAGTATGCTAGGCATATCCAGGCTGGCTGAGGATGTGGGAGGATCTCAGCATTGAGTCTCTGTTAAAGAGGCTGTCTCTCTGCTTCTCTTTGAGTGTATCTCTCACTCATCGAAAACTACATAAACTCAAAGAAAAAAAAAGCAAGTGAGTATTTTGCCTTAGTGGAATTTACATTCTACTGGGGAAGATAGAAAATAAATAAATAAATAAGCACAATATAATAATAGTTTCAAGTGCTATGAAGAAGAAATAAGCCATAGAAAAAGAAGAGAGCATGACAGTAGCAGGAAGGGCACCGAGAATGAAGCTCTTTCAGAAGTGCCAGAGAAGAGCTCACTTAAGGAGAAGGCGTCTGAGCAGAGACCTGAATGAAGACAGAAAGTGAGTCATGCACAGTCTGGGAAAGAGCATTCCCAGGAGTGTAACTACACACGCAGTTGCTCTGATTGGGAAGAAGGGTGACATATT